GGACTGAGGAGGAAGGAAAGCTTATTCTCAGGGTAGCAATCACAAAATCTCCATGAGGGCTGGCACCCACTGCACACTGTGGGGGACAGGGAACAGTCTCCACCACAGAACTTAGTTAAAAAGAAGCACCTTTTTTTGGAGTCACAGTAGGATAAAGATAGGAGAAGATTGGGCCTGTTCAATAAGAGAAACTCTCCTTCAGAACCCTACTGAGCAACGAAGCCCAGAGGTCAGAAAATGGAGATGTGTAATTTGGTGGGGGTTAAGGGAATAAAAAGATAACAACCAAAGACATTAAAAAAGTGACAGGTAGATAAGAAAACCAGAGTGCCACTGATAAAAAGGGTCTAAGTCTGTAGTAGAACAATGAGAAGGTTTCCTTTATGCTGCAGAAGATGACAAGAGAATATATGCAGATCCAATTGGACAGAAAAACAGATGACAGAAAACTGAAGACTTGGGGGAGCAGCTGCACACTTTCAAAGCTCCGCAAAGACGATTCCATGGGGAGCTCATAAACATGTTCTTTTTGCTGCTCCCTCAGATAGCTTCCTGGGCGAAGGCGTTTAACTCACAGCTGATAGTTCCTTCACAAGCAGAGTCATTTGTACTCCTTTGCTTCTACTCAGTTCAAATTTTCACAGATGGCTTCTCATTCCTCACATCTTGGAGCTCTAATACCTGTAGGTGAGAGGGTAGTGGGGGGAGAGAGTAAGAGAGAGAGAATGGGGGAGGGAGAGAGAAAGAAAGGGAGGGAGTGAGGGAGAAATGGGGATGTAGGAAAATTATTTAGCTGAACACAGATAAGAAACTATCAGGAACAAATCTGATGACAGAAAAATCAGTACTTTACTTTAGTCCAAAGAATGGATAGTCAATTAAAATCCTTTTTCTTCAAGTATAAGTCTAAGAATCTCGGCATGTGTAGGAATGTATCATGTGCATATGTCAATAAATCTTGTTACACTGATAACAATGCAATCACTTAAGTATTTTCTCCAACCCTCAATCAGCCAGATATTTATCATTCGGTTAGATTGAAATCAAGCAACATATGGATTTTGATAGTTTGTATATAACGTGGTCACCTCTCAATTTGAAATCACCCCCAAGGCCTCCCAGAGCCATATTTTTTTCTAGGTACAGGTTAGGCGTGAGAGAGATGCCAGCTGGGATAATTCTTCCATTGTAAATTTATAAAAATAATTTTTTACTTGATTGACAAAAATTTTATAATATTATAATTACTAGATTGTGTTTTTTTTCTATTTACCTCTTATTTATCTTAATGCTTTCATTCTAAAAAATTTTATGCTTTCCCCTTACACACTCGCTCCTCCTTAATAACATTTTAGAAACTCCACTAATTCAGAGTTTTAATATACAGGTATGTGTTCTACCCCTGGATTCTGTACTTGTCTACATAGTTATTTCCAGGTAAGACATTTTGCCTCGTTGGAAATCAGTTTCTTTATATGTAAAAATATTGGAATTTCTAAAGGTCCCTTCTTGTGCTAATTTGCTCCTCTTAAACGAGAAACCATTAGCTTCTTTTCAATCCTGACTCCTTACAGTGGCACCACAAATGCTGAGGACATCAGGCCTACGTATCTGTACATATTTGTATAAGGAAGCCAAGGTAGTATTAATTGTAGTATTCATAACTGTTTTGTTTGACAGTTTTGAGGGTATAGGGTATCCAGTTTTAGTTATGATTGCATGGCTAGATTGTAAGAATCTATAAGTAATAAAATGACTCATATTTTCAGGTATTATTTTTTCAAGGAAAAAACATTTGTAGTTTAAAATAAAGAATAATAACATTCTAGGTTTTCAAAGACACTTTGGCCCTGGCCAGTGTGGCTCATTGGTTGAACGTTTTTTGTTGGTTCCATTGAGGTATGTGTAGGAGGCAGTGGAGCGATGTATCTCTCTCTCTCTCTCAGAAACAAAAATTAGTAAAGACATTAAAAAAAAAAAAAAAAAAAGACACTTCTGCCAAAACCAGTTTGGCTCAGTGGATAGAGCATCAGCCTGTGGACTAAAAGGTCCCAGCTTCGATTCCGGTCAAGGGCATGTACCTTGGTTGCAGGCACATCACCAGTGGGGAGTGTGCAAGAGGCAGCTGATTGATGATTCTCTCTCATAGATGTTTCTAACTCTCTATCCCTCTCTCTTCCTCTCTGTAAAAAAAATCAATAAAATATAATTAAAAAAAAAAAGACACTCCAGAAAACAGATACTATAGTTTATATCCCTAAAATTGGTAAAGGACCATCTTATTATTAGGAAAATGCTCAACACAGAAAACCACTTGTGGCTCAAAAATAACTGCCCTATATTTATGTGAGGTGACACCATGTTATCTGTTATTGTGTTCTTTCACAATCTCCTACACCTGTGGTCGGCAAACTGTGGCTTGAAAGCCACATGTGACTCTTTGGTCCCTTGAGTGTGGCTCTTCCACAAAATACCACAGTCTGGATGAGTCTATTTTGAAGAAGTGGTGTTAGAAGAAGTTTAAAAAATTTTGCTCTCAAAAGAAATTTCAATCCTTATACTGTTGATATGTGGCTCTGTTGACTAATGAGCTTGCTGACCACTGTTTTACACTGTTTCTCCCAGCTCTCTTTTTTTCAGCCCATAAGAAAACACCATGTGAAAATGAGAAAAATGATGAGCTCCTCAAAACCCCAGGCCTAGATTTACAAGCTGTTCCTTTCACAAAAAGCAACAATAATGCTAGTGCTTTATTCTGCAGGCAGTATAGCCATCCTATATAATAAAGAGGTAATACGCAAATTAATCCTCATACCCTCACAAGATGGCTGCTACGGCAACCAGGTTGGCAGTGGGGTTAGTGAGGGATGACCAAACAACTGAGCAGCAGTCTGTCTGGGGCAACCAGGCTGGCAGAGGGGCCATGAGGGGCAACCAGGCCGGCAGGGGGGTGGGGAGGCAGTTGGGGGTGATTAGGTTGGCAAAGGAGGGCAGTTAAGGATGACCAGACCAACGGGGGGTGGGGGGCAGTTAGTGGCAACCAAGCCAGCAGAGGGGGGAAGTTGGGGGCGACAGTAAGGGGTGACCAGGTTGGCAGGTGGGTCAGTAAGGAGTGACCAGGTTAGCAGGGAGGGGACAGTTGGGGGCGACCTGGCTAGCAGCAGGGGGCAGTTAGGGGTGATCAGGTAGGCAGGGGGGGGCAGTTAGGGGAGACCAGGCAGGGAGGCAGGTGAATGATTAGGAGCCAGTGGACCAGGTTGTGAGAGGGATGTCCCCCAAGGGGTCCTGGATTGGAGAGGGTGCAGGCTGGGCTGAGGGCTCCCCCATCCTTGTGCATGAACTTTGTGCATTGGGCCTCTAGTATCTTATAATTCCTTACACCTGACCACTCACTAGAAAAACAGCAGTCCTTTCTCCATCAGATCATGGCTGAGGCAAAAGTATAATGAGCTGCCTTATATAGTTATCATCCAAGGGCATGGCCAAGAAAGATAAAGACTAATGCTTCTGTCTCTGCTAGCAGATATTGCCTAATTAGATAAAGAATCATGGAAGCCTAGCCTGGTGCTGGTTAGAGCATTGTCCCAGTATGCAAGATAGTATATTGGATCCCCAGTCAGGGTACATACAAGAATCAACCAATGAATGCATAAATAAGTGGAACAGCAAATCTCTCTCTCTTTAATCAATCAATAATTTAAAAAAAAATTGATTTTATTTACTTATATAAATAAATATTGAAAATGAAAATGAATATGTATGCATGTATATGAGTGGGCTCACATACCTGCAGGACAAATAAATAAAAGATTCAAACCCAGGACTGGCCATTCTAAGGAGCATACCCTGCTACCCACTCTTGTTTTAGTATCCACATACGGTCCAACCCTAGGATTTCCACACAGCTTATACGTCTGTAGGCACAGAATAATTTAATTGACAAAGGGCTGTCAATTTTGTGGGATGGCATACTAAAGGGAACTCTTAGGAATTTGAGTGTATCAATACATGTTCCATTTAAAAAATGATACCCGAGACTTACCATTAGTACCAAAATGTTTACATGGGCAGATCCCTTCTGGAAATGTACTTTTTGTCTCCTCTGAAAGGACATAACACATACCACTAGTAATTTGTTGAATATACATATATTTTATCTTCACCCCAGGATATGTTTATTGATTTTTTTAGGGAGAGAGGAAGGGAGAGAGAAAGAGAAACATCAATGCGAGAGAGACATATATATTGGTTGTCTCCTGTATGCATAGGTGATTGAACTTCATACCAAGGTATTTGCCCTGACTGGAAATCAAATCTGCAACTTTTTGGTGTATGCGATGATGCTCAAACCAATTGAACCACCTGGCTAGGGCTGTTAAAGTTAATTTTCTCTCTCCTTTCTTTTTTGCTTATTGATAATTTATATTTTAATTAATTTAATCAAGGCACTAACTGTTTCACTGTAAGGTTAGTTCACATTAACATTTAATATAAAACAGCCACTCTATATTCAATGGTGAATAAAAAGCTTCTTATGTTGTAGGTTTATACATATAATGTCTTGTTGACTACTAAATGTATTATAAATTATCATTAATATTTTCCAGGGGAAAGGAAGCTTAAAAATTAAATGATATTTATTTTGTTCTTGAATTTAAGTGCTGTTTTGGGGGTGACTTCTTCAAAGTTTCTCTCTCACTCTTCAAAACTCTTTGGGAAGTTAGCATCTGAGAATACGGCAAATGAGTGACAAAGTTATAATGAAGGTTCAACCAGAAAAATCATGCTCTTTCCATTAAAATATGCTGAAGCGTACATGAGTAAAACTGTTTTTCAACATTATTTACGACATTTAGCCAGTATGCATCAGGAATCTTGAATCAAGTCTCTAACTTATTCAGTATAATTCTAAAGTTTTAGTAGTATTGATAAAGTCGAAGGCCATTTTATTTTTGAAGTTGTGCTGGCATATAAATGTATCAGTGAGCACTCACCATTCCTTAACGATCAAGTCTGTTTACAACTTCTCGAACAGTAGCTATGAAGTTTTCATTGTCTTGGGGATTAGCTAAAATAATACTGTGCAGTCTGTTCATATATGAATCAATTGTGTCCAGGGTAGGTGTCTCTCCACTTCCTGACATAAGATAAGAAGAAAAAGTCAGAAAATCCTTCCTATTTGGTTCGACCATAATACAATTAAGTGAATCCACAGCAGAAGAAATTATCCCTCTAATATGGTCTCCTCCTCCACAGGCAAAATTTTAATATCAGAGGAGAGACTTGTTTAGACCTCAAAGAAATGAAACCTACATACTCTACATAAACAGACGGGTATACAATTGTTCTATTTTGTGTATGATTAGCTGCATTAACAAAAGGTTAGAGACTTGCCAAGTTTTATTCTATGACATCTCAACATGAAAAAATATATAAGAAATACGAGTGTTTGTTTTCTTCTTCCTTTCCATTAAAACAAATTACAAGCAAGCAAATACATTTTTCTTATGTGCTTTAAATCAGGACTTACTACTCAGTTTCTATTGTTCTGAATATCAAATTAAACCTAATTGAAAGTAAGTTATATTAAAATATAGCTGAAAAAAATTTAAATGATCAGAGAACCCGAGATTTTGGGTAATTTGTAGCCAATGCTGAGATTTTATTGCATGACCCACAAAAAACCCTGAGGGTGAAAAACCTTTATTTTATGAATTTTCCTCTTTGTGGGAGACTTCAGCCTCACCATGCCAATACCAATATAAACAGCACCTCCCACTTTCCGAAGTGCTCAGGTAAGGATGGCATTACCAGGTAAGGGCATGCTGGCAAAGCTGCTGGTCAACACCTGTCGCAGGGTTTCCAGATGCTGTTGTAAGACAGTGTTGCGGCTTCGCTCCTGGATCACGTCCACTTCCAGCTTCTCCACTGCTGTGCGCATGCTCTCCACGTGCTTCTGCAGGGCTGCATTCCTCTCTTCAAATTCCATGTTGGATTTGCGAAGCTGGCGTAGCTCTGCCTCCCGAGCTGAGGACATCCCCCCAAATACACACAGAACACATGGAGCGCTAGGAATCTCTGAGGAGTCCCAGTGTTTTTTCCAAGGATGTTCTCTCTAATTTAGCCCACTTCATCTCTCTATTCTAATTATAGCCCTCCAAATAGCAATTTAAGGAATGAAACACCTGGCTCCCCAGAGCTAATTTAATTCTTAAAACTGGTCATATTCTATACTTAAATTTACAAGGAACAGTAGCAATTCCAAGTATTTTTGTTTGTTTGTTTTAAACTCTGAAATGAAAAGCCTGAGGGATTTCACAGGGGAACATTGGGACAATGGGCAACCACTTTTGGGTTTCCATCTTTACTACATTGAGGTCAAACTTTGCTCTTATATTATACTAGAGGCCCGGTGTATGAAAATTCATGCATGGGAGGGGGTATCCCTCAGCCCGGGCTGTCCCCTCTCACAGTCCAGGAGCCCTCAGGGGTGAGAGGTGACCCAGAAATCCGGGGAAGGTGACGCCCTCATCATACCTCTGCTGCTGTAACTGCCTGCAGCACAAGCCTCGCCAGGCCCTGGTTAACTGAGCCTCAGGTGGCCCTGGGAAACTCCGGAGGCAGGCATGCAGAATGACTGGACCCACCTGCTGCCCTGCAGGGCTGAGGGGACTGGGTGCTACCATCTTTGAGGGTGTGGCAGTCAATTGGCATATTCCTTCTTTATTGGCTGTGGGCACCATCTTTGAGGGTAGGGCAGTCAATTAGCATATTCCCTCCTTATTGGCTGTGGATGCTGCCATCTTTGTGATGGTGTGAGGGACAATTAGCATATCCCCTCTTTATTAGATATAACTAGAGGCCCAGTGAATGAATTCATGTAAAGGTGGGGTCCCTCCCAGTTGATTGGGCCAGATGCTGGGGAAGGGACTGCAGGAGGTGGGTCAGCCACCGAGATTGGCTGAGGGAGCGCAATGACCACCAGGGGGCAGTTCCAGCATCTGCCCCATGGTGGTCAGTGTCCACAATAGCTACTGGCCTGTCATCCAGTTGTCTGGTCATCCAATCATAACGGCCACTTAGGCTTGCATATATATAGGATGTAGGCTTTCATTTGTATAAATGGTTCCAGGTTAATAGTTTGAAAGCAACTGCATTAGTAATGTATATTTATTTTCTTTGATCCAGAGACTAAAGCCGTTTTGACAACACTGGGTTAGTGTTCCTTCACTGGTCTTTGAGTAGTTACTTTTACTAGAGAGTAAAATACAATTTTTTTCTTACAGACCAGTCCTAGGATTTGGAATATCACTATCATTGCTTTTCAGCAATGTATTCCTACTGAGAACAAAATTCCCTGTCACAGACCCAAGTAATACAGAATGATACTTTGGTAATCACCTTTACTGTGGTTCAGGAATTCCTCTGTAAATATAGGGATGTCAAAAACAGATCGTTCCTTTACTTCTGTTTCTTTCTGTAAATCAAGAATAACAAAACAGTTCTGGTCAAGACGGTAGAATATATAAACATTCAGCTTGCCTCTTTCCAAGACAATATTAAATTATACCTAAATTATAGAACTACGACCCCTGAGAACCCCTTGAAGACTAGCTGAACAGAGAAGTCCTATAACTAAGGATATAGAGAAGCCACGTCAAGCCTAGTAGAAGGGACAAGGACACAGAATAGGCAGGTCCCACATGCATGTGTGGTAGTTAATAACTGGGAGAGCTATCTCAACTTTGGAGGTTTGGCCATGGGTCAAGGGGACCTAGCCCCACACCTGGTAACCCAGTCCAGGTCTCCAGTGCTGGGGAGAGAAATTCCATAACTTTTGGCTGTGAAAACCAGCAGATTGTGGATGAGTGAGTTGGAGGTTGCTGGAGTCACCAGGGATCTCTTAAGGAGCCCACACACAGACTTACAAGGACTCACTCGCTGAATCCCAGTACTGGGGCAGCAGCTCAAAATTGCCAGGGACATACAGGGAGGAAATGAATTGCCTGGCTCCAGGACAAGGTCTGCATGGGCAACTTTCAGATGTGCCCCATTTTGTTCCTCTGATGAGCCCTTCCCCATCAAGTATGTATATACTGGCAAGCTCCAAATATAAGTCTCCATCCAACTCACCCTACCCTAGGGATTCCTTAAGAATCTGTACAACCCAACTCACACACAGGCCTGAACGCTTTATAAGAGGGTATTCCTCACATGTGGCTGGTCTTGGCCAGTGCTGTGGATTTTCCTAAAAATCTCTGAAAGTTCCAAAACCCCAAAAAAGCAGCAGTTGGCCTTAGCATACCCTATACCCAAGCTAAGTTCTTCGATACTGGCATTAGTGGCAGTCAGCCTCATTTTGTAGTGCAGTTTCTCACAGGTACCCCCTGGGAGACCAGTAGAGATAGCTATCGACCTTAGATAACTCTGTAGCTCTTTCTAGGTAGGTCAAGGTCAGGCACAGGGAGCAGTTTATCTAGATCTGCATCTGAGCTCTTCAAAAGAGGCCCCAGGACCAACACACCTAGTGGCTGGCTTCAGACCACACCAGAGCACCACCTCAATTAGCTCCAAAAATGATACAACTAAAGGGTGAAGCCAGCAGACACCAGAGCTCTGCTACAGCGAATCTCACTTTAAGAGATCAACCCTGCATAACAGCTTGTCTGTTATAGTCAGGGCCAGTCCTCAAAGCCAGCCAGACTAAGGGTCCAATCCAAACCACTGATGTGCTCACATACAACAGGACAGTACACACAATCCAATCAAGGTACACTGCTGGAGCACCCAATTCAGTTGAATACGGAAACTGCATCACTGGTTCCTTACAGAACACCTACTAAATAAGGCCGCCTTGCAAAGACTGGCAGACACAGCATATCCACCTATTATATAGAAGCAAACACCTGGAAGCAGCCAAAAATAGGAGATAAAGAAACATGTCCCAAATGAAAGAACAGGAGAAATCTCCAGAAAAAGAACTAAACAAATGGAGAAAAGCAATCTACTAGATACAGAGGTTATAAAAAGATGATCAATGAAATCAGAATAAGAATAGATGAACTCAGTAAGAACTTACACAAAGAGAAAAAAAACATAAAAAAGATCCAGTCAGAAATGAATAACACCTTAGACAGAAAAAATGGCAGATCAGATGAAGTAGAGGTTCAAATTCAGAAATTTGGAAGACAAAGTAGTAAAAAACAATCAGAACAGAAAAAAAAAAGAGAATAAAATTAAATGAGGATAGTTTAGGGAACTCTGAGACAAAATCAACATTCATAGGTGTGCCAGAAGAGAAGAGTGAGGGATTGAAAACTATTTGAAGAGATAATGACTGAAAACTTCCCTAAAAAAGCAAAGAAAATAGACATACAAATCCAAGAAGTGCAGAGTCCTAAACAAGATGAACCCCAAAAGACCCAAAGCAAAACACTTCATAATTAAATTGCCAAAGATTTAAGACAAAAAGAAAATCTTAAAAGCAGCAAGAGAAAAACTAAGTTAGGTTCAAGGAAGCACCCATATAAATGTGAGCTAATTTCTCAACAAAAAATTGAGAAATCAGCTGTGCCAGAAGAAATAGATAGGAAATATTCAAGGTAATGAAAAGCAACGACCAACAAGCAAAATTACTCTACTAGCATGGCTATGATTTAGAATAGAAGGAGATAAGAGAACCTCTCAGATAAGAAAATGATAAAGGATTCACCACCATCAAACTAGTATGACAAGAAATGTTAAAAGAGGGAGGGGGGGAGGGAGATAAGATAAAGAAGTGAAGGAGGAGAAAAAGATGATGATGATAGAAATATATTAATAAAATGTCAATAACTACATATCTATTATTTTAAAGGAAAAAGATTAAATGCTTCACTGAAAAGACACAGAGTGGATGAATAGATAAGAAAACAAGACCCATACATATGTTGCCTACAAGAGATCCACTTCAGATAGAAAAACACACACAGTCTGAAACTAAAGGCAGGGAAAAAGATATTTCATGCAAATGAAAATGGAAAGTAAAAAGCTGGAGTAGCAATACTTATATCAGAAAAAAATAGACTTGAAAACAAAGGTTATAATAATATATAAAGAAGGACAGTAAATATAAATAGATCAATCCAAAAAGGATTATAAGTAAAAAACATGAATAATTACATGCTAACAAATTGGACAACCAGGAAGAAATGGATAAATACCCAGAAACACATAATCTTCGAAGACTGAATCAAGAAGAAATAGAAAATTCAAACAGACTGATAATTACTAACAAAATAGAATCAATAATCAGCCTCACAAGAGAACCAAGATGGCTGCATAGGTAAACTCCTGTATTCACTGCCTCCCACAACCACAATAAAATTACAACTAAAACCTAAGCTGCCACCTCACACAACAATTTCAAAACAACAACTAAAAGTCAGAACTGACATCATCCAAAACCACAGGAAAGCTGGTGGAGTGGGAAATCTACAATTAGAAAGAAGGAGAGAGGCTCGAGGATTGGATTGGGAGTCGCAAAGCACTGAGGTAGGGAGACACTCCTGCGCAGAGAGGAAAGGCGACCCAATGCCTGGTTGGTGGGAGGGGACAGGAAGTCCCCGACGGCACTGAACCCTTTCTGACTGCACTGAACCCCAAACCCGGCTGGAACCCAGTGGTCCCAGGCTCATACGGGTGGAGTCCGGACTGTAGAAAAAGGCACCTGGAGACTCAGAGACTGGAGACTGGGGGACCTGGGAGCCACAGCAAGCAGGGTTTAGTCCCGCGCCAGTGAGTGCACACAGAGAGGTCTGACTGCTGAGGTTGCAGCGACCTCTCCATAGCGGAAGGAATCAGAAGCTCCAGACTACAGAGATCCAACCCAATTCCGGGCGAGCCCCTGGGGCACCCATGCTCTTGCACAGGGTATCTGGACAGTCAGGCAGGAACTCAGGAGAGCCTCGGAAGGCAGATGTCTGAGGCTCATGCACAAGGCCAGGGCTGACGGAAAGCCAAGACTGTCAGCTCAGCCGAGACTCCACCCCTTCCAAATTGAGCAAAAAAGATTTTGCAATTTTGTAAGTCTGATCCTATAAAACTGTCTCCAATAAAGAAGGTATCCCAAAGTAGACACAGCTGATACTCACATCCAATTGGCATGGAGGTCAATTACTCCCAGTGATACCAACAACAATCAAGACTTAACTACAACAAGGCTGTACATGCAGTACAAAGGGAGCACCAAGAGTGTCTACCTCAGGTAACGGGGGAGGCTGACCCACTGGGCAATATAGGACACCAAACACACAAAGCCATCTTACCTACTCTGGGAAGCAGCAAAAATGCTGAGACAAGGAAATAGATCTCAAACGAAAGAGATGGAGGAGAATAAAAGACTGGATATAGAGTTTAAAACCATGGTTATAAGGTTTTTCAAGAATTTCCTAGAAAAGGCCGATAAATTTAATGAGACCCAACTAGAAATTAAACATAAACTGACTGAAATAAAACATATTATATAAAGATCCAACAGCAGATTGGAGGAACACAAGAATCAAGTCAAAGATTTGGAATATAAAGAGCCAAAGGACACTCCTCTGGAAAAGCAAGAAGAAAAGAGAATCCAGAAAGTTGAAGATAGTGTAAGGAGCCTCTGGGACAACTTCAAGCATACCAACATCAGAATTATGGGGGTGCCAGAAGAAGAGAGAGTGCAAGATACTGAAAACCTATTTGAAGAAATAATGTCAGAAAACTTCCCCCACCTGGTGAAAGAAATAGACTTGCGAGTTCAGGAAGCGCACAGAACCGCAAACAAAAGGAATCCAAAGAGGACCACACCAAGACACATCATAATTAAAATGCCAAGGGCAAAAGACAAAGAGAGAATCTTACAAGCAGCAAGAAAAAAAGTTAGTTACCTACAAGGGCGTACCCATATGACTATCAGCTGATTTCTTAATAGAAACTATGCAGGCCAGAAGGGAGTGGCAAGAAATATTCAAAGTGATGAATAGCAAGAACCTACAACTAAGATTACTGTATTCAGCAAAGTTATCATTCAGAATTGATAAAGAGCTTCACAAATAAGAAAAAGCTAAAGGAGTTCATCACCACCAAACCAGTATTATATGAAATGCTGAAAGGAATTCTTTAAGAAGAGGAAAGAGAAGGAAAAAAAGATAAAAGTTACGATCAACAAATACATATATATCAACAAGTGAATCTAAAAATCAAGTGAATTAAAAATCTGATGAACAGAATAAATGGGTGAATATAATAGAATCAGGGGCAAAGGAAGGGAGTGGATTGATAATTATCAGAAGGAAAGGGGTGTGGGGGGTGCAGGAAGAGAGTGGATTAAAATTGTACACCTATGGATGAGGACAATGGGGGGGAGGTAAGGACAGAGAGTGGGGCGGAAACAGGGTGGTAGAGAGCTATGGGGGCGGGGAGGAGGAGAAATACTGTAATAATCTGAGCAATAAAAAT